CTGTAAGTAAGAACTCTTCTATTTTTATACATTTGGATTATCCTCCACGTCATTGACATCTTCTGGATATCGTATAAAGTAGAACTTTGGATACAACGATATAGATCCTATTGGACTTAATGTCATTATCTGTTGTGCACTGTGGCGCAGACCCATCCCCCATTTTCTTGCTTTGTCTATTTATTTCCAGGGACATTAGAGGGAGTCCTTGTTTGGGACTGGTGCCTTTCTGATTAGCGCTGACTCTACTCCTTGTTTTGTTATGGAGTGTAAATGTTGTCTGCAATATGTGGGCCAAACCAAAAGGTTATTAAAGACAAGACTCAGAGAGTATGTCTACAATATGAAAAGAAAATTTGTAAACCACACTGTGTCCAAACACTTTTCAGAAGTTAACAACAATGACCCTATAACATTAAAATTTCGTGGTATACAATTAGTAAAAACACAATGGAGAGGAGGAGATTCGAGTAAAAAATTTACCAATCAAGAAATGTTCTGGATTGTTAATTTAACCCCTTAAGGACACATGACATGTGTGACATGTCATGATTCCCTTTTATTCGAGAAGTTTAGTCTTTAAGGGGTTAAAAACTTTAATTCCGTTTGGCTTATATACCGAACTAGAATTAATCAATATTTTATAAACTTGTATTCACCTTGATGTTGAATAGAATGGTATCTTTCTAAGGTTTTAAATTCTCTCTTCTTCCATCAACTTCTTTGTGTAGTTATATAATTAACACAGGTTTAGACACTAAGCCATTTCTATAGATAAGGTCTTGTGCATATGTATATATATGTTTGAACCCTTTTTTTAATGAATGCCTTTCACTGAGCTTATTTATGTATTTTTCTTATAACCAGTGTTTTAGAGGGTTTTACAGAATATTTTCGATTAGTAAGACAGAATCTGATTATTTTGTGTTTGTAACATACATATATATAAAATAATTTTTGATGTTAAAGTATTTTTATTTTATTTATTTTTTTATAGACAAAAACAAAAGGGTCCTGTTTACTAAATAAATACAAATTCATTGTATTGATGTGTTTTAGAAGGAGTACAATCCACCTTTGCATTGGCTGCTAAATAACAAGTTATAAAATTACTTTTATTACTGTTTAAACTTAGTTTAAACAGAATGTAATTTGTTTTTTATATACATTTGTTTAAATTAATATTATTCATTGAATATACCGTGTATTGACTATAATGCAATGTTTGCAAACAAGATGTTTTAGACATAAAAAGCTCTGCCACAGAAGGGAATCCTGTGTTTTTAAGAGAAAATGCTCTCTGCTACACCTGACAGGGTATATAAATCAAGATAAGGCAGACTCATTATCTTGAAAAAGCCTGCTGAGTACTGGTGGAAATCATGGATGAGTTAGAAGCCTTTCATCTTATCTTTCCAGGCAGACACCTTTGGCAGTTAAGTGCTTTGTCATCCCTCCATTTGAACTTGCAGCATTTCAGCTAGATCCTTAGACATTTTCTGAATTTCTACTGCACCAAAGGAGTGGTACTACTTTCAGCACACTGCTTATCTGCTACATATTCTGGACTCTGTTTGGATCCCTTGATGGAAAGTAGGATTCAAACACCATCTTTTTTTTTACTGAGTTTTTTAAAGGATTTGGAGTTTCATTTTTACATGATATTAATAAACTGTGTTGCACTTTCTTTGCTTGGTTTGTATCTTTTGAAGATACCTTACTGTGATCACTGCTGTTGGATACAAAGTTTACACAGAATACTCCTAATTTCCTAAACCACCACTGTGGAGGTGGAAATCATACACATTTATCTCAATACCCAGTTTCCCCACAAACACTTATTTGGGGCTATTGCACAGCGCTGATATTTATCTACTTTTGGACATTCTATCACATAGGTTAGCGGAATAACCTTTTATGTCTGGCAGCTAAAAACATTTTTTTATCTTTGGACTTTGAATATTTGGTGTCATACAGACAATTAAATTTAATATTGCGCTTTTTTGTTCTATTTTTTTGTTTTTTCTATATTTGTGCATACCTTGTAAAACCTTTTTAATTTCATGGCAGATCACGTGCTGCTGTAGATATTATATTTTTAATTATATCTAAATGTAATATAATTATATTTTTTCTCGTGCTTGCATTTCTATAGGAGATGAAACTGGAGATACATGTGAAGATTATGGAGAACTTCTCATGGCAAACCCAAGGAGCAGGAAATCTGAACGAAGTCATCTCATAATATGGCAGTTGCAGATCTGAAAATAGAAGATCATCTCATCATTGGTGTTGGGGCATTTTCTAGATGAAATGACTGTAATTCTCTATTGATTTCTCCAAAGCTGACAGAATGTACAATAGTTGTGTGTGTCTTCTGGGAGTATATTTTTCAATTCCACTCAGTATTTAATCTTACAGCAATATGAACAGTTTGGAGCTGTGGACTACGTTCAAGCTGTGTGTTTATAAATCAATTTATAAATGTATCTATCTATTCTGGTGGCACTAGAGATTTTCATGCACAGGAAGGTATTCTTCAGTGTTAACATTTTTAATGCAGTTTTTGCTGTTTCAAAATTGTGTTCTCATTTAGCTTTCAGGTTGCTAAGTACAGGGATGGTTTCTTCCATTGTGTGATACCACAGTGCATCAAATTTATCAGCTGTCCAACTGACTAAAACACTGGTATTATGATTCTGCAGATGTATTCTTTAGAACAAACGGACATTTTACAATTAATTTATTTTGTACATAATCTAGATGGATTGTGTGCTCTTCGTTGAAGGGGAAGTCTGAGCACCATTTTACTATATGCCATTGTAATGTTTGTCAAACAGTTTATGAGCAGTTTTACTAAAACCTGAGGTCCCTAAGGGGCTCTATACCTTGCCCCCTTGTTGCCTATTGTTTAATGCTCAACTGGGTACTCTCAATTGAACTGTTATGCAAAAATGGACAAAATTTATATATATTGCTAGAAGTGGAACTGACTCATTTGCAAAAGGCAAGCAGGGTGCCTCGTGAATCCCTAGTTTTTGATAAATCTCCAAACCACTCCAAAAAAAAAGTTTTCTTTAGAACCTGGGGAACAGCTCTAACAGCATTATAGTCACTACAATCTTATGTAGTAATTATGGTGCTTAGACTGCCCCTCTGCATGTTTGTACTTGGAAAGCTTACGTTGGCATTGATAGTGCTGGTGAAAATGTCATCCAACTATCTGGTACTGAATGTTTATTAACTAAACTGTTTACAAATAAAAAGAGGAAATATAAGATTGTATTTCAACTCAGGGCTCACTTATTTTGCCTTTGCATCTACCAGCACAGTAAATAGCAACTATTTACTTAAATATAGCGAATGTGAAAAAGAAATCACTTTAAAATGAAATGTATTTCACTGTATCTTATTTTTTCATCATAAATGTAAAATAAAGTTAAATCAGTTCAAGGTGTATTGTTTGAAGATGCGTAAACATTATATACATTTAATGCAATGTATAATGGACACAGGGAGAGACACGTATTTATCTCATGCAAAAATTAATCCAAGCAACTGTGGGGATGTTTGTTTTGTTTTTTAAATACATGCTTGTGTACCTTTGGGTATTTTTCATACAGGTTCAAAGCTTTAATACATTTTCCTGTTAATTTAAATTATTGGTTCTGTTTTAAGTGTTGTTGCTTAACCTTTTTATTTTGCTTCTTGTAAAATACATAAAGAGATTTTAAAATATATTTTCTTCTGATACAACTTATAAATTACCTATGTATTTAATACACACATTGAAAATATTAATATGTGTGTTATGTCACTATGTGAATACCACTGGTTTATTGGGCAAGAACAATATGTAAGAATCTATATAATTTTTACATGCATATTATTTTTCTGAAATGATTTTTAAACGCCAGATAATTCCAGTATAGTAAAACTGTGAAGGACCGCCTGGCACCCCGACCGGGTGCCTCCAACAATCGATGCTCCTAGTGCTCACCGAGGACTCCAAGCACTCCACCAGACACCATAAGCACTGTAGACCCCACGAACAAACGCAGCTTGGTTGGGGTCTTGCTGTCCTCCACCCACCCTGGCCTCATGACAAGGATCCGGCTTCCAGTGGGTGAACCTCTCCTACTCCAGAGAGCATAGCAGGAACAGCTCTTATAAGAGCTAGTGATTAGAACCCAGGGGAGTACAAGGAGTATAGTAATCCCCAGAGTGAATATAGCTGTTCCCTCTACACATGAGATTAGACTCTATGTTGAGGGTGAAGAGGAACTGGTTTAATGGTAGCCACACTGGCCTTTTATGCAAGTCCTGAAGCAAGGGGTACGCACACATGGACCCTGTTGGGGACAGGGACACAAACTTACAAACCAATAATAACACATTTACAATGTAACTAGAGAAAGAGAAGAAGAATAAGGTTGTGCCTAATATAAATTGGAATATACCAAAAAATATATATTTTGTATTTACCAGAGATAAAATATCCAATAAAATAAATAAAATACAGGTATACTGAAATAAAAAGAGTATCAAAGTCTTTAAAAGGAACAGCCAAACTTGATAGGATTTAAACGTTCTTGAGGGTTGCATTCTTGTCGTTCCAGAAGTACATGCAAGACACATGGGAAAAAAGGAACTCCAATGGTGCAGTAAATAATGCAATATGTATATGGAAGTAGGTGGGATGTATTCTACTCACATTTACCAGAGCTATATCCATCTCTGGTGTGTATAGTGTGAAGTGAAATAGTCTCCACTTCTGGGATATGTGTGATATGTGGTTTCTCCAGATATTTCCAGTGGTGATAATTCCGAACCAAGAAGGTAAAAATTGCAAATGTAGTGCTCAATGTAGCAAAGAATATTAAAATACTTAATATTAGAGGAAATTTAATCCCATAATAGCCCTAATCTTGGGGCACCAAAAAATGCAAAAATCACCCAGATCAGTTCAGGAATTCTATGGAAGTCTTATTTTGACCAACCACACACATGGTTTCATGCCCAAAACAGTTCCAGAGAATCAGTCTGTGCGACCGGTCTACTTCGAGGATTCAAAATAACGTTCAAAATACCGAACGTAGCCGTTCATGAATATAGTCAGTTTGTCTCTTGGTCGGGAGTTTCTTCTTATCAAATGCCGTTCGAATAGTCGAACATCCATGGAAGGTAAAATTTTAGTGGTGTTCGTGCCATCAAGTGTCCGATTTGAGTTCCATGCACTCGCCGACCAAACACCGCTGGATGCGTTCGACTAAACAAGATGGCCACCGCCACGTGTTTGAATGCCACTTCGAATGGCTTTGTGAGTTCAAAGTGCCAGTTTGAATTATTCCTGTTATCAGTCCAAGAGGCACAACCAGAGTCTTTAACCCAAAGTTCATTACAGGGGCCATAGTCACAGGGCAAAAGGCTGGCAAGTATGCCCCTCCAAGAACCCATGACGAGGTCCAGTTCGTCACAAAGACTTATCGTATTTAAATTTGAAAAGTAAAACAAAATTAATATACAAAGGATTTGCAAAATACCACATGGAAAATGTAAAGTTACGATTTGTAATGGATAAATAATGTAAAAAAAACAAACAAAAACAACTGTCAGCTGTTTGGGCTCCATTCTAGACAAACTCTCACAATCTTTCCCACACAGAGATATTTTCTCAACCTATAAAATAATTATCTAGTGCAGGGGTATGCAACCTTTGGCACTACAGATGTGGACTACATCTCTCTTGATGCTTTGCCAGTATTATGGCTGAAAGAGCATTATTGGATATATAGGCCACAACATCTCGAGTACCGACGGATGCCTACCCCTGCTCTAGTGCAATGCATGTTATTTTAGAGGAACCCTCTAAACACCAAAACAACTACAGTTCAGTGGTTCTGGTTCAAATAGACTGTCCCAGAATTGTAAACACAACCTTTCTGTGATTAAAAGAGGTACATCCAAAATGACAGATGCCACGAAAACCCCTATACCCAGAGGCGAAGAGCTCCTTATACTTCAGCACTTGGAGGCCCTCTTCGATGCTTTTTGGAGAACACTGCAGCACAGGCAGACCCTACCTGAGATTGTGAAAGCTTCCCCAGAAATGCCCTGCCGCACCCCGAGCCATCCTGCTGCTTCCCCCAGATACCCCCGAGGCCGTGTTGTGCATCATGAGCAAGCCAAAATGACAGTCCCGCATCCACTAACTTCCAGAATGGGCATGATGGACGCACTGGTTTAGGTTGACCATCACTAAGTGTCCGGCTGCATGATACCTCCCAAGCTATTGACTCTTGGTGTATACAGCATCATTTAATTCACCTATATTTGTAGACTCTATCCTATAACCTCTGAAGGCATACTATATTATGCTAATATCTAGTAGGATGTTTATACTGTGTTTATTAGAGCTGTCTAGGTTGATGTATTCTGCTGTTCGTTTAACCCACAGATACCAAGCTTGTTTTTGTTTACTAAAAATTGTGCAGATTTAAAGCTTAATCCTCTCATCACATGTCTTTGGATGTCACATTTTTGAGTGTACTGCTGTATTGTACTAATACTGTACAACAAAAATAAAGAATAAATAAAAAGCAGAATGACAGCCAAAAGTGGAGCTTCCTGTTGCGGTTCTGCAAAGATATTTAAACCGACATTTGGTGTACTCACGTTCAAAGTGAAGACAACAAATGCTCCCTATAGAGATGCATTGAGCTAATACATCTTTATGATAAGATGTTGATTGGCACAGTATGGCGAATCCGACGCATGGTCAGTACCCATCCAATGGTTCACCTTCGAGCAGCCAGGCACAGAGCGGTGGATAGGTGCAGAATTAGGCTAAAGGTAAATTAAAAAGGTTAATATATATATATATATATATATATATATATATATATATATATACAGGGAGTGCAGAATTATTAGGCAGTATGAGTATTTTGACCACATCATCCTCTTTATGCATGTTGTCTTACTCCAAGCTGTATAGGCTCGAAAGCCTACTACCAATTAAGCATATTAGGTGATGTGCATCTCTGTAATGAGAAGGGGTGTGGTCTAATGACATCAACACCCTATATCAGGTGCATAATTATTAGGCAACTTCCTTTCCTTTGGCAAAATGGGTCAAAAGAAGGACTTGACAGGCTCAGAAAAGTCAAAAATAGTGAGATATCTTGCAGAGGGATGCAGCACTCTTAAAATTGCAAAGCTTCTGAAGCGTGATCATCGAACAATCAAGCGTTTCATTCAAAATAGTCAACAGGGTCGCAAGAAGCGTGTGGAAAAACCAAGGCGCAAAATAACTGCCCATGAACTGAGAAAAGTCAAGCGTGCAGCTGCCACGATGCCACTTGCCACCAGTTTGGCCATATTTCAGAGCTGCAACATCACTGGAGTGCCCAAAAGCACAAGGTGTGCAATACTCAGAGACATGGCCAAGGTAAGAAAGGCTGAAAGACGACCACCACTGAACAAGACACACAAGCTGAAACGTCAAGACTGGGCCAAGAAATATCTCAAGACTGATTTTTCTAAGGTTTTATGGACTGATGAAATGAGAGTGAGTCTTGATGGGCCAGATGGATGGGCCCGTGGCTGGATTGGTAAAGGGCAGAGAGCTCCAGTCCGACTCAGACGCCAGCAAGGTGGAGGTGGAGTACCGGTTTGGGCTGGTATCATCAAAGATGAGCTTGTGGGGCCTTTTCGGGTTGAGGATGGAGTCAAGTTCAACTCCCAGTCCTACTGCCAGTTCCTGGAAGACACCTTCTTCAAGCAGTGGTACAGGAAGAAGTCTGCATCCTTCAAGAAAAACATGATTTTCATGCAGGAAAATGCTCCATCACACGCGTCCAAGTACTCCACAGCGTGGCTGGCAAGAAAGGGTATAAAAGAAGAAAATCTAATGACATGGCCTCCTTGTTCACCTGATCTGAACCCCATTGAGAACCTGTGGTCCATCATCAAATGTGAGATTTACAAGGAGGGAAAACAGTACACCTCTCTGAACAGTGTCTGGGAGGCTGTGGTTGCTGCTGCACGCAATGTTGATGGTGAACAGATCAAAACACTGACAGAATCCATGGATGGCAGGCTTTTGAGTGTCCTTGCAAAGAAAGGTGGCTATATTGGTCACTGATTTGTTTTTGTTTTGTTTTTGAATGTCAGAAATGTATATTTGTGAATGTTGAGATGTTATATTGGTTTCACTGGTAATAATAAATAATTGAAATGGGTATATATTTGTTTTTTGTTAAGTTGCCTAATAATTATGCACAGTAATAGTCACCTGCACACACAGATATCCCCCTAACATAGCTATAACTAAAAACAAACTAAAAACTACTTCCAAAAATATTCAGCTTTGATATTGAGTTTTTTGGGTTCATTGAGAACATGGTTGTTGTTCAATAATAAAATTAATCCTCAAAAATACAACTTGCCTAATAATTCTGCACTCCCTGTAGATCAACACAGTTAAAAAAAAAAAAAATAGAGACTAGTACTGAGGCAGATTTCTTCACTCTAGTGCTTTCTGAGGAACTATGCAAAACTGCACTGTCTGGCGTGAGCAGTCTGCCAACAAGTGCTCCCTGCTCGACTACTGCAGTGCAAGCAGAGTATGAAAAAATTTACTAATATTAGAAAAATAAAATAATAAAAGATTTGCTACAGCTACCTTGAAGCTTAGGTTAGGACAGTCACACAGTCAATCTATCAAGAACTAAAATAAACCAAATAAAAACAGCAACCAGTTAGCTTCACTGATTGCTGTTAAACAAACACACTAACTGAACTAATAAAAATCAGTTAATGAAAAAAGTAATTTCTTCACAACAGCAGTCAGAACAGTTAACTTCACTGCTGATGTTGATGTGAGCACAAAAAAAATGACACTAAAAGTGTGAAAATGTTAAAACAAAAAATAGACTGACTAATGTGTTCTGTTCTAACAAAGCACAAAGAGACTGTACTACAACAAATATATATATATTAAACTGAAGATAATTCTATCAAATTTAAGCTAATTAATTTTGATTAAATAAAAAAGCCGATTTTAAAAAAAAAGTAATACCTAGTTGCTCTAGGCTGTAAGCAAGCAGGGAAGGCAGGCACTGGCAGTGCAAGCCAGGCACCGTGTGGCACACTGACTCAGTCAGCAGCACAGCAGTGCACAGCTCTCAAAATGCACTAAAACTAAAAAAATAATTATCAGGAATAGTCTCTCAAATTCAACAAGTGAGAACTGGCAGGCACACCAAGACTCACAGAAAATCTCTAAGACAAGTAATGCGGCTAACACAGCACAGAAGCACAGTGTGTCACCAACAAAACTCAGTAAAAGAAGGGGAGGAAAGTTCCACTGCCTGCTTTTATACTGCTGTTTAGTTATTTTTTAAATCCACAATAAGGCACTCACCATTGGATAAGCCCCTATAGCATCATGTCTTATAGCTCTGCTGTGTTGCGCATGCACGGTATAATTCCTGTCTAAGGATATGTGGTGATGTTGGAAATACAGGTACTCCAAATGCATCGCAACATGAGTGATATATATATGGAGACAAATATAGGAAGAAAAAAACTCCAGTTGGTGAAGTAAGTACTTGTAAGTAGAAATGAAAATCAGCTCACTCCCATACCCCTCCTCTTTGATTCATACAAGGCTTTCAAATGAACTAATACACGAATTGAGGCAAATCAGTTCATTTTAGTTCATTAGTTCATTCGTTTTTCTACCATCCCCATGAAAAGCAATGCAATGCTTTGAAAAAGCACGAACGAACTAATACACGAATTGAGGCAAATCAGTTCATTTTAGTTCATTAGTTCATTCGTTTTTCTACCATCCCCACGTAAAGCAATGCAATGCTTTGAGAAATCACGAATGATTTGTGTGTTCGGTTCACGAACGCTGCTCGTTTGGTAGTTTGCATTACAATAAATCAATGCAATGCTTTGAAAAATCATGAATGATTTGTGCATTCGGTTCATGAACGCTCCTCGTTCGTTAGTTTGCGTTACAATACATGAATACATTACACTACTGACTGCCTGTAATTCAAAAAGCCAAACTAGTTATACGAATGAACTAAAAGCACATTCATCAATCATCATCATTGCTATTCATTCGGTTAGTAGTTCGGCTTTTTGAATTACACAGACTGCTAAGTGTAATTCACACAGAGTGTAATTCAAAATGCCGAATGAACGAACAAACAAAAGATTTTCAGTAGACGGCCATTCATTTGTTCGTTCTTTAGTTTGGATACCCATTCGTTAATCGGTATTCATAAGAATGGAAGAAAATACATATTTTCCTACGAAAATCCATTCGTACGAATACGAATGCCCAAGTCTAATATACACCCCCATCCTTTACAGCAGTTTGAAAGGAGTCTGCTTAAGCAGGCCTAGATTGTTATTAGTAGAATAAATGGTGTATACCACGCCCAGAATTGAATGGTGCCAGAAAAATATGTGCATAAATCTACAGATGGTGTAATACTGTAGACCTCAGAATAACAAAAAATACAGAAATAGTGCAATACAGTATAGTAAAATACAAATTAAGAAAATGATACTATATGAGATCCACTCACATTTAATTGAGCTATCTTATAGCTCTGCTGTGTTGCGCATGCACGGTATAATTCCTGTCTAAGGATATGTGGTGATGTTGGAAATACAGGTACTCCAAATGCATCGCAACATGAGTGATATATATATGGAGACAAATATATGAAGAAAAAAACTCCAGTTGGTGAAGTAAGTACTTGTAAGTAGAAAGGAAATAAGTTAATGTACTTACATTTACTAGAGCAGGAGTTGCTCTAGTTTAAACAACATGGGTAGTATAATCCCCACCTATGGATATGTTAGTACCAGGAAGCAAAGGAAAAATAAAAGGTAAATAGCTATAAAAAGCAAACTTTTATTTTAACAAAAATAATAAGACATAAAGTCTAAAAATAGAATGAGTCCCACTTTCCAAGGCTTTTTAAACCCACATATCCTTAGACCATCCATGCGCAACACAGCAGAGTTCTAAGATGGCTCAATTAAATGTGAGTGAATCTCATTTAGTACTATTTTCTTAATTTGTATTTTACTATATTGTATTGCACTATTACTGTATTTTTTATTGTTATTCTGAGGTCTACAGTATTACACCATCTGAAGATTTATGTACATATATTTCCATTTATTCTACCATTTGTTCATTCACAAGGTTTGGGAATCCTTGCACTGTATACTGCAGCCCACACAAACACACTTATTAAGCTATAGTGAGCGCCTTCTACCCCTGTTGTTCATTTTATGAGATTGATAGTGTATGCTCAGTAGGCCAATATTTTTGTAGGCCCTGCCAGAGTTCTGCCGCTTATCCCTGAAGACCTAGCAACAG